ATTCTGCACTTGCGGTATCTCAGAGTTAAAGGGAGCAATATTTTTTTTCCTCTGGTTTTGTTTGGTTTTAGAATAGTGAATGCAGCTAGCAGTAACAGCAAATGATTCTGGTACTTTCTTAAGGTGCGTTCCAGCAAGGTGCAAGCCTTCAGCCGTCTTCCATCTCTGGGTTTCGGTCCATTGACCTCTTGCATGTCTCTGGGTGTATGTTAGCATCTCTCAGGTTGTGCAAGAAGTAACATATACTGACTTCAGTGGTAGCATTAACATACGCCTCTCTCGTCACTTATTTTGTAGCAAAGATGCAGATACTCATTTCAGTCCCAGCTCCCTACTCCATCACATGCAATACTTATGTTTGGTCTTCATTAACTTAAGCTCCAGACTTGTTATGTGCATATTCAAATTTAATGACTATTTTACCACCAGCACGATTACATCCTGAAATTTAACACAATATTAACAGTATATCTTTTTTCAGAAAACAAATTGTTTAAGCCACTGTGGGATCTCAGAATGGAAGCTGATAGACCTGATAAATACATTGATATGAACACTTACTACATTGTGTCATATTTTAAACTGGCCGAGCAGAAATTAAAAACAGTTTGCTGACCCTTCATAAGGTTGCTCTTATTCTGATGCTGTTACCTTACGTTGCCTCTGTCTTTAAAAAAATAAATTATTGCCTTGAAGAGTGTAACAACCATTTCCTCGGAGAGTGCAGTGGCCTGCAAGTGAAGGCAGCTCTCCTGCACCAGCTCCCTCCTACACTCTCGCCTGCGCTGTACCATCAGGACTTATGGTGTCCCTGAAAAGAAATTGTATTTACAAATGCATTACCCAGCTGCAGCAAAGAAACTTTTCCAATATGAACTTTTGCTTACTTTGCCTGCGGTGCTCATGTTGACTGGCGTGTTCTTGTGCCAAGAATTCAGCCAGCTGCGAAGCAGTCAGGTTGCTGATACCACAAGTCCCGTCCGGTCTTGCCAAGTGCTCCTGCGAGTGCACGGCTCTGACCTTTTAGCCAAGCCTCCCGGCTCCAGAGTCCCACCCCTTAACCAGCCAAAGCACTAGAACGAGAACAAACCGCCCATCTGCCACAAGCTCACTCTTTGCAGTGCTTCTGTCTTCCCCATTCCTTTGTCAGGCTCTTCCCCAGCCTTTTTGCATCCCACCTATGGTGGCCCTCAACATTGCGGGAAGAAAGCAAAGGACCTGGCTGGAAGCTGTCCCCTCTTTCCACCTCCCTGGGAGGCTGCCCTCCAAACCCGCTGCTCTCCCAGGCACTGCAATTCACAGCGCAGGGACGCCCTGAGGACGTGAAGGCTTTGCTGAATTACTTCGGTGACACTCACTGATCTATTAAGAAACATTCACTGTCCATCTGCAGCTGTACCTGCTCCTGATTCCTTAGTTTTACAGTTGGGCCACTCATTAATCTGTCGGGATGGCTTCCAGCCAGCAGTGACCAAGGACAACACGCTGATCGTGCTGACGGGAAAACAAAAATCAGTAAAGTCAGCAAGAAGTGCTGGAAGAGGATGCGCGTTTCTTACTACGTGCAACACCCTGCTCGATTTGCAAGGGATTGCCTGACCCGTTGGTTCCATCAACACCCGCGAGCACAGGCCCCATCACTGCCCACGCACCCTCTCCTGGCTCAGCGTCCTGGGGCAAGGGGTTGGGTGGAAGTGGGCACTGCATGGTTTTGCTGGGGATTTCAAGGCTCATCTATTGCCTAATTATTCCCAGCATTTTGAAATCAAGATTTTTCCCTCAGAAATAAGCAAAAAAGAGATAAGATACTGCATATAATCTGACTAATAATAACTCAGCACAGCACTCTCTCAATTTTTCCTGTTTGTAATTAATTTAAGAAGGGCTACAGGAAGAGGAAGCAGGGAGAGACAAAACAGGAGTGGTGCCACAGCCAGGGGTTTGGCTACTTGGACCATGGGACTCCCTTTGAGAAACCTGGTCTGCTGCAGGCTGCCAAGGTCCATCTGTCGGAGAAGGTGAAGAGCATCTTTGGTCACAGGCTCGCCAACCTGGTGAAAAGGGCTTTAAACTAAAGTTGCAAGGGGAGGGGAACCTCAATCCACCCCACTCTTACCAGTTTGATGCCAGGGCCAGCGATAGATGCCCAGAGCCTGGAGAGGAATCACAGACCACCAGGAAAGCACCTAAAGGGTGACACAAAGAAATTCCTGCCAGTCAGTCAGCATCATTGGAACCCAAGTGAAGTGTCTCTATGCAAATACGGGTAGCATGGGGAATGAACAAGGGGAGTTAGAGACATGGGCATGCCTGCAGGGCTACAATCTTACTGGCATCACAGAGATGTGGTGGGATGTCTCCTATGACTGGAGTGTTGGAATGGAGGGATACAGGCTCTTTAGGAAGGACAGGACAGGCAGGGGGGAGGAGGAGGGGGGGTGGAGGGGGAGGGGGTTGCACCTGTCTGTCAGTGACCAGCTGGAGTGCATGGAGCTCTACCTGGGGATGGGTGAGAAGCTGATAGAGAGCTTACAGGTCAGAATTAAAGGGAAGGCAGGGACAGGGGACATTATAGTGAGGGTTTGGTACAGGCCACCTGACCAGAAAGAGCAAGCGGACGAGATCCTCTATAGGCAGATAGGCACAGCCTGGCATTCACAAGCCCTGGTCCTCATGGGGGACTTCAATCACCCTGATCTCTGTTGGTGAGACAACACAGCAGGGCACCAGCAATACAGGAGGTTTCTGGCATGAGGTGATGACAACTTCCTTCTCCAAGTGATAGAGGAGCCAACCAGGAGAGGTGCTGTTCTGGACCTTGTTCTCACCAACAAGGTGAGAACCCTTTGGCTGGTGGGGAATGTGAAGCTCAAGGGCAGCCTTGGCTGCAGTGACCACAAAATGGTGGAATTTAAGATCCTTAGGGCAGTGAGGAGGCTGCGTAGCAAACTGACTACCCTGCACTTCAGGAGAGCAGACTTTGACCTCTCCAGGGATCTGCTCAGTGGAGTACCATGGGACAAAGCCCTGGGAGGAAGAGGGGCCCAGGAAAGCTGGTTGATATTCAAGGATCAACTCCTCCAGGCACAGGAGTGATGCATTCCAACAAAGAGAAAGTCAGGCAAAAATGCCAGGAGGCTGCATGGATGAACAAGGAAGTCCTCGATAAACTTAAACTCAAAAAAGAAGCCTACAGAGTCTGGAAGCAAGGAAAGGCAAAGCCCTGATAGAATTAAATCTGGGCAGGGATGCCAGAGGCAACAGGAAAAGCTTCTATAGGTATGTCAGGGATAAAATGTGGGCTCTTTCCAGAAGGAAATGGCAGACCTGGTCACCCAGGACATGGAGAAAGCTGAGGTACTCAATGATTTTTTTGCCTCAGTCTTGACCAGGAAGCCGCTCAAGCCACAACGCCCAAGGTCACTTCCACCCCAAACCATTCTATGATTCTACAGTTCCTTGGCCAGAGCAGGTACCTCCTGCTGGGAACAATATCTGCAGCCTGCACAGGGGTAGGTGGCACAGTCTTTAGGAAGAAGGTGGCAAGAAAAAGCACTGCACATGGCACCAGTGAAACACAAGCTGCGTTGCATAACGATGTTGCAGAGGCCGCTTTATTTGCATTGCCCTGTCAGATTGCTCAATACGTGGAGCGGAGCGTGGGGCCAAGGCTCGAGGTGTAAGCATCCTCAGCACGCAGGGAAACTACAGTGCCACCCCTTAATGACTTGCTGTCACAGGCCCTCAGGCTCAACTCTTTGCTCTGATACTTGCCAGAAAATATTTAACTGATCCCTATGCCCCATCCTCTTCCCTTTTAGGGCAGTTCACTATGAAACTTTATGCTTATCTATGCATTGTATTCATTCCTACACAACTAAAATATGATCCATTTATCAGCTTTTTATCTCTCTTTGTCCAGCTGAGCATGTGGCACTAATATTCTCTCTCTGGGGATTTATTAACCTCAGCAGATCCCAGTGAGATGCAGTGACAGAGGCAAAAGGGAAAGCACACACGGGAGTTGTTAACAGCTGGTGAGCTTGGAGACAAAAGAAGTTAGAAGCAGCAAACAAAGGCCCGTTCATGCAACTCAGGTCGTCTTTACTTGGGGACTCTAACTTGAACACAGGTAAAGGGAGCTAGCGGTTTCTGAAACATCCTTCTTCTAACAGAAACAAAATTCTCCACTCAACTTGACCCAATTTAACAGGAGAGTATTATAATCAGAGTTCAAGTGACTTATCTCTTTACCAAAAAAAAAAAGCTTTTCAGGGCAGTTATGCATCACAGTTTTTAGCAGCAACTATACATTCTGCCCTACAAATAATAAAATGCATATCAGCTTTAGCTAATAGTTCAGCATTTTAAAAAATAGGTTACTTTTTCCTGCATCTACACTGCCAATATTGAATTTTAAGCTTACCAAGGTACATCTGTGTTTATTTTCAGACAGTGATTTAGCTGTTAAATGATAAATAACAAATATAGTTCTTCCTACTGTGTGATAGCAATTTCCAAGTTACTCTTTCATGAGTCACTTCTTACTCTTCAGAACTTGGGAAGCACAAAAGATTCGGCTCTGGGCTAAAACAGGTTAGTGGCAGATAGAAAAAAAAACATGCAACATTTCTAAAGTCCCACCCTACACAGTACAGTAGCTGTGATGGCTCAACTCCTTTTTATTTTTTTACCTGTGCATTTGAGGATGTCCAAAGGCTTAGGTACACAAAACACTGCAGGTGCTCATGAGTACGAAGTGCAGAGGTAAAATGGAGCAGCGGGTAAGATTTGGAGCTAGCATGCAGACCAGGTCAAATTAAACCTGTCCAAACAGCTTAGGGACAGTATCTGAAGATTATCCAACTGTGCATGACAAGGCAATGGAGCTGAACTAAGCAAGCAGGGGATGGTGACATCCCGTTTTGTGAGAATATAAACAAAGACTTCCAGAAATAAACACCAATACCTTCCCAGAACACACAGAAAATAAGTCACTCATGCTCCTGAGACAGTGCCTTATACATTTCAGTAAGCCGAAGAACAAAAGCAGAAGGTGGAAGCTGCAAATCAGCTAAACACCAGTTCTGAAAGTTTGTGGGTTTAGAGTGAGCATTAAAAGAATCTGAAGAGGAAAATAATATCTAAGGAGACTACTGAATCAAGTATGAACACCCCTTTTTTAAATAATGCCTTTTATCTTCCTTTTAGGTCTCTGAAAAATCACAGCTGTCACACCACTCCAACCTTATCCTCAAGTGCAAAGTGTGCACCAGCAGCATGACAGTACCCATGAAACAATACACATTTACACCATTATCCATCTATTGATTTTCAGCCAACTATGCATTTAACCAGTTGACACCTGATCTTTCTCAAAGCTTCCAGAAGGAAGGTTTTGGGTTATTAAGCAGTTTCAGAAAAGGGACTGATATCAGTAGGCATTCAAAGGCAAGCCCAACAGTCCTAGGCTGCACTTCAGGGTGTTTTGTTTTTCAGTTCCTTGGCTCTGGGATAAAAAGAGGGGGCCCAGCCAGTCCCCCAGCTGCAGCTGGCAGTCGGACTGCCCCAGGACTGCCCTGAGCTGAGGTGCTGACTTGGGTTTGTGGAACCACCAGTCACTGGGGATCCCCTCAGCCAGCTGCACCCCCATGCAGCATGCCAGCTCGCACTGCAAAAAACACCATCAGTGGCCAACTTCTTGACAAAAAGCCCCCAAGATGGGGGCAATTCAGAGAGGCTCTCTTCCACTCCAATCATTCCGATGCCCTTCTGCAAAGCCAAGTCTAGAATCAACCACAATTGCTCAATATGCAAACATAGGGTCAATGAGCATATGTAACATGGGACAGGAGTCTGTGTGGAAACCAAATCAACGATAAATTGACCTGAATCCAGGAAAAGGGCAAGCAG